AAAAAAAAAAAAAAAAGAACCTTCCCAAGGGTCTTTTCTGTGGTTGAAATATTTGAATTGTTAAATCCTTACCTCATCTTTGTATTTCTAGTTTTTTCTTTTAAACACAAAGGTTAGATTTCTAATCTAATTGTGTACAAAAAAATACTGTGCATGAATGTGAAAGTAGGGAGGACAATTGATATTTTGGGAACTAACAAGTATGCTTTATTTAACTTAAATAATACTGTAAAGTGTTCAGACCTTAAATAATGCAGTAAAATGTTTGTTGTGATGGCCTGAGTACAGATGTAACAATTAGGCATATTTGTTTTGGGCATTTTTCTTTTTGTTCTTCCACTCTCCTTGCTGTAAAGTTGTGTCTCCATTGATCACTTTTGATCCAAACTCACTTGTGCTTTATCTCAGGTTTGCAGATTTATTTAAAACGTTGGTTTAAAACTCTGACAACCCTTGTAATTGTAAATTTAATTTACCGCTGATTCAGACCTAGCACAACATCGTGGTTAAAGAATAGAAAGGAATGGGGAAGTGTTCAGAAACACATGAGGGCATTACATCTGTATTGGGCTACTGTCCATTTATTAATACACGGGACATGCATTTGGTCAAATGATTTTGCTGCAGCAAAGTAGAGCTCCCAAGTAGAAATTGCTCAAATGACATTCTGTAGAGTTATCCCCGTCAGATTTTTTTAAGGATCTTGCTAATCAGCAGTCTTAAAATGTAGAGGTGAGAATGAAGCTAGCGCATAGACAATTTCCTTCTTCACAACTACTGTTGATTGTGCTAGCTGCTATTCCATTTAGCAGTTTATATTCTTTGAGGAAACAGGTATTAGAACAATGGTATATAGCAAAACTAAGCTGGAAAATCTCATGTACCCAAAGTTCTTGCTGTTTTTAGAAATTCCCAGCCTGTACTATTTATCTAGTCCTCCTATTATTTGAATGGGCTCTTTTGCTACTGTGTAGCAGTGAAATCTTCTCTAAATGCCTATCTTTCCAATACTTCCTACATTCATCCAGTGTTTTACATTTGGAAATACTGGTGCATTTTCCCTCCCAAGACAGAGGAATCTTTTTATATATGTTGTTGTGCTGGAAGCCTTTTTAAAAGAAACTTGGAGAAATACACCCAACTAATGGGACCTGTCTACAGGCAATTGTGTTTCTGCTTTTCACTGTTGTAAGACATAATTGAGAATAACCTTTTCTGTACATCTCAAGTAAGTCTTACTGAGCTTTCCTGAAAGATAAAATAAAGGCAGGACACAGCTCCATATTCTGAATTCTCGCATACAGATTTACTCTCTGCTTTTATGATGTCAGATCCTTGGTATCACAGACACTGATTTATCTACTCCTTATTTGTTTCACGTGGTTCTTATTTAATCTGAGTGGTTAACTAAATTTACATTATTTTATGATTTCTGAAGATCACAGATAAAATGCCATTCCATTTTCATCTTAGAGGAGCTTTCTAGCAAGAATAAATTGTTCTCCTTTCTGACAATCTATATTTGGCATTCTATTATAAACTAATTTACATAGTACGTGTTGATTAAGGCATACTAAGTGCTTAACATTTTGATCTGAAGTAATGTGTGCTTAATTAAATGCTAACTTCAGAATGCATTGTTTTGCATGATTTTAGTGAAGTTGTTTGATGGCAGTGTTTTTCCTTATTATAGCTGACACAAGATGAAAGTAGGGGTGCTCTGTACAAATACAGATCAGAAGAACTGGATATTGATGTAAGTACTGTTAGCTCTCTGAATATTGATTGTTTTGTTTTGTTTTGTTTTGTTTTTGTTTTATGTAAACTGATGTGTTTGTAAGAAGTAAACAAACTAATGTCTCTTTCTAGCTTTTTGAAGCAGAATTGAGATACACCTTGACATACTTTTGAAACGTTGGGAAAAATGTGTATCTCCTGCAGGTACCTAAGATAGATCACAGAAGTTACAGCAACTTTATATCTGGAGTCGATTTATACATGGAAGTAACTGTTAAAAGCTCATTGTTCTGATACTCCCAAGGCTCCCTGTCAATCCAGCAACTTTATTTTATCATTCTTGCCTGCCTAAAATATAGTCTTCAAGAACAACACTGAACAGTATTGTACAATCTAAGCAGTTCAAATGGCTCATAGTCTATATTGGTCAAAGATACTAGTCACTAGCCTTTACTATTTAATGGGGAACCAAGTTAGGCGATTTCTCTTCAAAAAGATGCCCTCCCCTTTTTTAAAAGCCAGCAATTGCGCCAGCCAGTTAAAAATCAGTGAACTGTACAGGTTTACTGATTTTGTTACTTTTGAGGCATGGTTTATTCTTCTGCAGAGTTCTAGTTTAAATGTATATATTCCTGTGTGGAGGAATTGTTCTCTGTCAAGAAATGCATCGTATATCCATCATGGATTTCTATATAGGTCATATGCCTGATCTGAAGCTAATCTCCATGTGCACATAGAAACACACACACACACACACACACACACACCCCAGTAGTTCAGAGTACGATACATAAGTGGATTGATAAAGAGAATATTATCTCTGTACTCCTGTTCCCAGCTGAATGTATGATTTTGAAGTGAAAAGTGAGGATCTGCTGTTGGCCTTTTTTCCAGTCTCTGCACATTTGTGTGTTTATGAGGGTTTTAAAGGTCTGGGTATCAGCAGTCAGTATGCAAAGCAGCTAGGGGCACAAATTATCAACATCTTTTCTTCTGCACTAGGCTAAGCTTAGCCGATTATGTGAACAAGATAAAGTGGTGCAGGCCCTAGAAGAGAAGCTTCAGCAGCTGCACAAGGAAAAAGTAGGATAATTATATTTATTATTCCAGATTTATGTTATTTTGCATGCTTTATTATCAGAACATTGATAAGTGAAGTAAAGAGGAAATCAGTCCAATGATGCAGAACATTAAAAATTATTCTTTTTATTACCATAGTACACGCTTGAGCAAGCTTTGCTATCAGCCAGCCAAGAGATACAAATGAATGCAGAAAATCCAGCTGCCATACAAAATGTCATCTTACAGAGGGATGATTTACAGAATGGCCTGCTTAGCACTTGTCGAGAAGTATCTCGAGCCACTGCGGTAAGAAAATGCAATTCTTTTCCCTTAGTAAAACTCACTGGTGTGTTAAGTGATGTCTCTTATTGTGCAGTTGTTTAGGCGTTCGTTCTTATTACATCCTTGCAAATATTAATTTGTCTTGATTTTCCAAATCTAGAGCAGGTTTAGAAAGTCAGGATGGAAATTATTTTGCTACAGTGGAATAAATGAATGTCTCTATTTTAAAAGCTAAACAGTTGGTAAAACATACACTGACTGTTCAAGCAAAAACTGGAGTTCATCATAAGACTGGAATTATCTTAAAAGATCTTGAGGTCATCAAGTTGCCATATTTGTTTTAGTTGTCATTCCAAAAGCTATTTCATGCTGTTATCCCCAAACTCATGATCAAACATTTCATAACAAACATGATCCATTCCATGTAATGGAATACCTAGTGTGTACTGTGGAAAATCCAAATACAGTTGTACTATTTTTCCAGAGTATTGTGTGCTACACAAGGCTTTGGATTGTATTTGTTTTTTTCAAGCAACATACTAGACACTGTAGAATGCTTATTAACAATAAATGTTGGGGTGTCTGCTCACCTATGTCAAACATTCATAAATTAAGAAATTAAACTGTAGATTTTTTTTCTAATGGATATGGAGCAGTTTCAGTCACAGAATGTTCCACACTTGGGCCGTTACAAGTGTTTGTAGTGTTTATGTAGGAGCAAATGTTTCCTTTGGTGTTACATTTGCATTAGCCCCAGTTTAGCATTGGTAGTATAATATCTTTACAGTCACACCGTAAAAAGTTAGCCATAGCCTTGTTCTATCATCTCTGTTTTGAACTGAGGGTGGGAGACAGGAGAAAACAGTAGCTTCATTGAAGGCAGATTTCAGAAAAGGCAGGACAACCTAAGGTCAGATGGCTAATGTGGATAATGAAGAGAACAAAATAATTTAAGGAAGTTTACCTTTATTGTCTAAAGGTAGATCATGCCAAAATGTGGAACATATTAAGGCTAATAAGCATGCCAAGATACTTGATTATTCTTCTGAGCAATGTTCAAAATAAAGAAGATGCTTTTGTAAGAACTGAGTTTGGGGACCAGAGAAATTCAGTGTAGGAAAGGGAATGAGACAATAATGTGTTTTGTCATCATTTATGTGTAACTTATATAGCAAATGTTTTAGAAAAATGAAAAGATTGGAAGAGATTGCAGCTGGAAACAAAATTGGAGGATGAAACACTAAGAATTAGAGATATGCAGATGATACATTTTGTCAGCTGAAAGTAAAATATGCAAATATGTGATTCAGGAGCAAAATGTTCTGGAGAACTCTAAGTTGTTTGTTCCCATATGTTCCTCTTCCTCCCCCTTCCCCCCAGTTCATGCTGAATCTTCTCTGGACCAGTTTCTGGAAGTAAATTCCCCAAATGAAAGTGGCAACTTAAATCCAGAACCACAGAAATGCCTGCATAATTGCATTGTTTGGAGGATGTTTGGCAAAGATCCAGAGGGGGAACCAGAACATTTCAGAGTTCTCCAGAATATTCAGTTGCCAAAATGTGCACATCTTTCAATGCAGAAATGCTCATTAGCAAAATAAAATAGAAAGTGAAAAATCTGGGCTAATCTAAAATATTAAGATGAAGGTAATGTCACCTGTAAATTCACAATGATTGCCAAGAAATGAGGATGGTAGACATTTTTATTTTCTTAGGCTCAAGAATAGGAAAAAAGGGAAAATATGCTGGAGAAGTAAAGAGGAGATTAATCTTACTCAAGAAGGCAGTGACAAACGTAGACAAGTTCATGACATAAGCATATTTCTATTACACCAAAGTTCAGAGTCGCTAAAGCAGCA